GCCAATGCGGAGAGGGAGTCCCGGGACAGCTGAGGCTCCCATGCACATTGCTGGATCGAGAGGGCACTCAAGTAAGAATTGTGGGGGTGGGGGGGCTGTGGGGGGAGCAGCACAGTTTTTTTACCTTCATGCAAACACCCCCATCCATCCATGTCTCCATGTTTTCTTTTGTTGAGAAACCACTTTGAAAAACAACCTCCTTAAATTGCTGGCCATGGCCATCTTGAGTAAGGGCAGATGATTCACGTAGCACTTACCTCCTGGAATCCATCTACCCTTAGCACAAGCATGCAGGCAGGAGGATGTACTTGGCTGAGAAAACCCCTCCTCCCCTCCTGAAGACTCCTGGGATGTATGATATAATTTGCCTAGGCCTGGAAACCAGGAAGTAACTGAAAAAATGTAAAAAAAAAAAGTTTAAAACAAATAAATATGATATACTCTCCTATCTATTTACTAATGCTATCATCATAAGGATTACATTTGGTCAATGTTGATTGAGAGAGTGAAGATCAGCTTTAAGGATGTTGCAGGTGGCTTTATGTAAAATGGCATTTAATACTGGTCAACGGACTGCACAGCAAATGCAATTGGGTCTAATACAGGGGCAGACTGACAACTCATGGGGCTCCCGGGCAATAGGGGATCATGGGGCCCCTGTGTCCTTGCCCAAACTCAAAAAAAGCCTATGAAAAAAGTACCAGGGGCATCTCATGGGGCCCCCTACTGACCCCAGGCCCTCGGGCAGTGCCCGAGTTTCCAAATGGTCAGTCCGCCCCTGGTCTAATATATCATGTGATGTACAGGTTCTATCACATAAGTATTTATGAATGCTGTCCACAGCTTTTATGTACCTGACCTTGAAAAGAAAGAAATGGGAAGCCAATCTTGACCAGGAAAGCAGTACATAAAAGGCTGCCTTGCTGACAAATACACCAGAGAAAGGCCTCCTGTGAAGCAGTGCATACAGCAGAAAGCTGACACGTGGATGTCGCCATGTCATTTCATTGTGGAGGTGCGCTCTTTGTTGGGCTTGTATGTTGCACCCTCTTTTGAATCAACATATGTATACCACCAGGAGTGGGAGAAGACTCTAATGTGACTTTTAAAACTTGCATGTGATAACTGTACTGGTTTTATGCTTCCTTAAAGCCCAACTCTGGACACAATAAACTGACTCGGGATAAAGCAGCTATACATTCTGCTGCCAAAAAAACAACCCCCCCCCCCCCCCCCCGCCATGCTGGCTTTGTTTTACATCCAGCAAATCTATTTGTTTACATGGTAGGCTTAGCACAGCTTGCGCTGTACCTCCAGTCCAGTTGGATGTAAGCACTGCAGGTCTCATAGAACACACAGCACTCTGCCTCCCTCTCCTCCTAGCCATTCACAAAATGAAGCCAGGGGCTGTGTGTTTTGTGAATGGCAAGGAGGAGAGCGAAGCGAAGACACAACATTAGCGCTGGGGCCTATGAGACCTGCAGTGCTTACATCTGTGCGGGCCAGAAGAACAGCGGGAACTGTACTAATCCCAGCATGTAAACAAACAGATCTGCCAAATGCAGAATAAAGTCAGCATGATGGATGAATTACTTCGGTGGAACATATAACTGCTTTAAGCTGGGTAAAGGTATTGTGCATGGAGATAGGCTTTAGACCGAAAACAAAATGTAATAACTTGCAGCTTACCAGTCCCTAGATGTAGCGGCTGCATTAGTTTCCTAGTCTCCTAGATTGTAAGCTCCCAGGATCAGGGCCCTCCTATCCCTCTTGTATTGAACTGTATTGTTGCTGTATTGTCTCCCGGTATATTGTAAAGCGCTGAGCAAACTGTTGGCACTATATAAATCCTGTATAATAATAATAATAATTAGTTCTCTGTTGTCTTTTTTATTTCTTACCCAATCCAGCAAATAATACACTTCTGTATGCCTGCCTTTGTGTGTCTCCATTACATGATGGACTGATGGGACAAGGATGCAGATGAAGATTTTTGTGCTTTTTAATAAGCTCACGGGAAGTGACACTTTCCACAGCATTTCTGGCAAGATCAGCAGGCATTTTTTTGTACTTGCTGAAAATGTTCTTAGCCTGAAAAGTGAAGCAAGGAATTTAGACTTATGCAGGCCATAGATGGGGAGAAAAACGGCCGATTTTTCTTTAAAAAAAACGAAAAATCGGTCGTTCAAGCGGTCGACGTTACCAGCAATGGTAAAAAAAAAATCGGCCGATTTTCATCCCGTCTACAGCCGGCAAAAAGTGTCCCTGCAGAGAGCTTCGCTATTTCTTTGACAGTTCTTTGACATTTATAGCGGTTGCAACAATGTATCTATTTGTATCCATTTAGGATACAGATGTTTTTATTCGGAAACAAATAGATACATTGTTGCAACCGCTATAAATGTCAAGGAACTGTCAAAGAAATAGCGGAGCTCTCTGCAGGGACACTTTTTGCCGGACTGGAATAATTCTTCTTCTTCTTTTTCCTCCTCTTCCTCTTCTTCTTTTTGTCTTCCTCTTGCAGGTCACTGCTCATGCGCAGATTTTTTATCGGTAAAAAATCAGCCGATTTACCCATCATTGCCGCAAAAATTGGCCGATCGGCAAAATCGGCTGATTTCTTTTCCAACTCTACCGATAAAAAAAATGTGCCAAAATACCGAAAAACGGTCGAACAAATAGCCCACTAACGATCCGAAAATCGGCTGATTTTATTTTCGGCCGAAAAATCGGCCGATTTTCGACCCATCTATGGCCTGCATTACCTGTGAATTTCATGTTTTGGCGTACAGGACAGATTACTGAATAAACTCTTGGAAATTATTTGAATGATCCTTGGTGTGCTGGTAACATATACTTTGGTTCACGGCAAAAGTTCAATAAATAGGGTGACCCTGTCTTACCTGTCCATGTCACTGGGTCTCTGTATAGTCTCGGCTTTGCCTGTTACGGTGGGCATACTGCTGGAGGGGTCTTCGGGGTGTGGGTTCCATAGGTATGGACCACGGTTCTGGACCTGTTTAGCACCCTGCAGCTAGCTACACGATTTGCACCAGGTGAAAAGGTGAACAGCCAAGCAGGATCCAGTGCTCAATGCAACATTACAGGCTATACCCATGGTGTGGTCTGGGTACAGCTCCCAAGTTTTACAGAGGCTGCACTGACGTAGTCGCACGGTTTCAATTTTTGTATTAGAAGAGAGAGTGTTCCAGAAGAATCCTTAAGTGAAATAAACGAATTAAAGTGGTTGTAAACCTCAGATATGAAATGTACAAGGCATATCCCTCTATAGTATGTACTTGTCTCAATCCAGAGCACTGAGTGTCATTTGTCTGCTGTCTTGTTCCTTGGCTATGAGTCACTTATGACAAGTTTTCCTAACACCAAGAGAAAAAAGGTGACAGGGGAGGGACCTCCAGCACACAGCCTGTGATCGACAGCCTCAGCTCTGTTCCTGTGTGAAGCTAGGGGCCGTGGGTTTCCTTTCTCTCCAATCAGCTCTCAGAGCTCTCCTCACTGAGCTCTGCAGAGTGTAGTTTCAGCTTCCCACCCCCTTTTTCTGGCAGCTATATAAATTCTACAATTTGAACAGATGTAGAGAAGACTGCAGAACAACAGGTACAACTTATATAGGAGGATTTGTTTAATCTCTGTGCAAGGACGGACTGACAACTCATGGGGCCCTCGGGCAATAGGGGATCATGGGGCCCCTGTGTCCTTGCCCAAACTCAAAAAAGCCTATGAAAAAAGGTTCCAGGAGCATCTCATGGGGCCCCCTACTGACCCTGGGCCCTGGGCAGTGCCCGAGTTTCCAAATGGTCAGTCCGCCCCTGTCTCTGTGTATTACCTGAAGCCAGTCACTTCACTGGGTATATGTAAGGGTTTACAGCCACTTTAAGATTAGAATGATTTCTCTGTAACCCCTTCACGCCGGCGCCTCCCGGCCCTTTAAGGGTTCCAGAAGCCGGGAGGCAGGGCGGGGTTTAGGGTCACGTGACCACCGTGACGCGCCATCACGACGGTCACATGATCGGGAAAGGTCGCGATCGAAAGAGGAGATCGGGACCTTTCCGTGAGTACCGGACATGTGTGCTGGGAGCGCGCAGGGCGCGCGCTCTCAGCACATATGTCCTTTTTTAATAGAACGCAAATGTTCAGCCGCTCTAGGCCCAGGCGCCGGTAGGCCGCACATATGTGTGCGGCCGGTGTGAAGAGGTTAAGGAAGAAGAGGTCCTTCACCTTAGGATACTAGCAAAAAACAGAGGACTCACGGAGTGGGGTTGGGTTATAGGGGAACATCCAGGGGCATGTCCAGCAGAGCTTTGCAAGTATCCAATCGCCTGAAGGTAGCAGCCTATAACCCTGGGTCTATAAACATCAAGCCTGTGTCCTATACTGTACGATTATGATACTTATAGAGCCACTACAACGAAGGACTGGCAAACTGCAATATATTCAATCAATTTTTTTTGTTTTTAGGTTTATTAAGGCCTGGTGCTAGCAACTTCACACTCAGACCCTCAATGTAGCACACATTCCTTACTGATGCTCTTTAACAGAGATATATATATATATATATATATATATATATATATATATATATACACACTCTTCCACAGTTAACCCATACACATACTCCTGTATCGTCCACATTATAACCTCTCCTCATTTCACCCTCCTTGTTTCAACAACTGTGTGCTCATATTGAAAGTTAAGGATAGAACTGTTGAATCTCTTCATTCATAAGTATTTTGGAAGGAGGTAAGGAGCTTCCACCTCCGTGTGGTATTCATGATTCATCTGTAAACACAGAAGTAGAAAAATGTCTTTTTGGAGAAGCCTGTGGGAAGGACAGTAACGTGTAAGAGCGGTTGGATGTTGTTGACAAGGTTGAGGTCTTTTTTCCAAATACAGGAGGTCCTGGTTGCTCCTGATGTTTGTACAGTGAAAGGACAGCAGAAGATGGGACAGTCAGAGATTAGTGGTGAAATAAATATGCATCAACTCAGTAGGTCAAATGTCTGCAGACACTGGGTGGAGCAGCAGTAAGCCACAAAACTGACAGCTGTTCTCCTGCGAAAACAAACCAACATAGTATTTTATTATCTTATAGCAATCTCAAATCACTAATATATCTCAACATTGGCATTAGAAAAAGGGAATTGGGGTGCGTTTTTGCCATTCCCCGAATGCCTAGCAAAGCAGCCTACAATGGATAATATGGGCAGTGGACAGAGCTGTTCACATTTGAAAAATGTTTGCGTCGCTTTACGTCACTGTGTGGCAAAAATGAAGCTACATGTCGAGTCTGGAAGGAACTGAAGCTTGTCAATGCCTTTCATTCAGGTTAATAGTAACACGCTGTAAACGTGCCTTTAGCATCTACAGCACGTTTACAGTGCGCTTCCATGGTGACACTGTACTACTTGTGGGGGTGATGAAGACTTTTTTTTCTTTTACACTGATTGCTTTTACACCCATAAAGGCTGTAAAAGCAATCATTTCTCCTTCTCTCTAGCTGCGTTCTTGCAGCCATTGAGAACTACTGAGTGAGCTGTGATTGGTCACATGGTACAAGGCTGTTGTGAATAACCTTGTACCACGTGACCTCTGTGATCATTGACAGATTTCACACGTAGTAAGCAATGTCACAAGTGACATCTTGCTTACTACTTTGCACGTGATCACTGATTGGCCAATCAGTGATCACATGATCGGGACCTCGTACAGAGGTCCCGTCCGACGATCAGGTGTTCCACTGTGTCCGGAGAACACAGCGGGCACCAGATCGTGGTGCTGTGCGCAGGGAGCGTGCACAAGCAGGGGGCGGGGAGGCCGTTTATAAACGGCCACCCGACCCTGCACTGCCACCGTCCGGCCGTTTATATACAACAGCCGGACGGGAGGTGGTTAAATACAATGTTTCATTAAAATTTAAATTGTTTTTCCTTATCCAATGTAATAGAAAAATGTGATTAAACGGGGAGGGGGGCAAGGGCGCCAATTTTATAGTTTGTCCCCGGTGCAAAATATCCTAGCTACGCCTCTGCTCTGTCACAATTTGAGAATAACACAGCCATGAGGCCCTTTGCCCACACTGAAAGCTGCAGGACTTGTCTGCAGGAGCCTGGCATTGCAACCTTGTTCCACTGATCACGGGTGCAATGCTTTCCAGGCTCCTGCAGGCACAAAAATAAAAAATACACATTTTATTTCCCTGCAAAAAAATGTGCATTTATTATTTTTTTCCCAAAAACGGTGAACTTATCCTTTAAAGATCATGATTTAGCAGGTGTTATCAATTTTAGCAACATATAATAAAGTGTTCAATTTACAGAAATGATCCAGTCTCTGAAATTACCCTTGATGAAGTCCGGCCATAGGGGTCTCCCTCAGAGGAAAGAGCTTTGGATAGACTATGGTAAACATTGACTGACTGCAGCGATGACAGTGTCCCAGGGGGCACTGCAGCAACTCCAGAAGACTTCTGGGCAATGAGATGTGTGATAGACAACTTAAATCTAAAAACAAAAGGAATATATTGGTTGGTGTAAAGCAATTGAGTGACACAAAATATGTACTTCCCTCACATTTTTAGACAAATACAATAAAAGGTAACAGATATGAAAGCTTCTAAAATACTAAAACATTTATATGATGGACATAAGATGTTTGAAGAGAAATTGCTTTTTTTTTAGTTTCCTCATACCCTGCAATATTTAATGTGCCTGTAAAGGATCTTTTTTTTTGTTTTATTTAAACAACAAACGTGTTATACTTGCCTGCTCTGTGCAAAGGTTTTGCACAGAGCAGCCCCGATCCTCCTTTTCTGCGCTCCTGGCTTCTCCTGCCTTCTAAGTAGCCCCCTAGCAAGCTGTTTGCTAAGGGGGTTACTCGTGCAGGCTCAATGCTCAGCCGCACTGTGTGCATCTCTTGACAAATACAGTGCAGCTTGGCTCTGCTCCCTTGTCACTGGATTTGATTGACAACAGCAAGAGCCAATGAGTCCACTGAGGAGAGAGAGAGAGCAGTGCTGCTGTTTTCTGGGGGTGAATCGCTGGATCGAGATCAGGCTCAAGTAGGTATGCAATGTCCCATCATTGGTTTTAATGGGAGGAATAGTGCCCCATCATTGGTTTTAATGGGAGGAATAGTACCCCCATCATTGGTTTTAATGGGAGGAATAGTGCTCCATCATTGGTATCAGTGGAGGAATAGTGCCCCATCATTGGTTTTTTAATGGGAGGAATAGTGCCCCATCATTGGTTTTAAATGGGAGGAATAGTGCCCCATCATTGGTATCAGTGGGAGGAATAAATACCCCACCATTGGTTTTTAATGGGAGGAATAGTTCGCTATCATTGGTTTTAATGGGAGGAATAGTGCCCCATCATTGGTTTTTTTAATGGGAGGAATAGTGCCCCATCATTGGTTTTAATGGGAGGAATAGTGCCCCATCATTGGTTTTAATGGGAGGAATAGTGCCCCATCATTGGTTTTAATGGGAGGAATAGTGCCCCATCATTGGTTTTAATGGGAGGAATAGTGCCTCTTTGTTGGTATCAGTGGGAGGAATAGTACCCCACCATTGGTTTTAATGGGAGGAATAGTTCCCTATCATTGTTTTAATGGGAGGAATAGTGCCCCTTGTTGGTAGCAATGGGAGGAATAGTACCCCATCATTGGTTTTAATTGGAGGAATAGTACCCCATCATTGGTTTTAATGGGAGGAATAGTACCCAATGATTGGTTTCAAAGGGGGGAATATTTCCCCCTTGTTTTATGAGTGGGAGGAATAGTTCCCTATCATTGGTTTTAATGGGAGGAATAGTGCCCCTTGTTGGTAGCAATGGGAGGAATAGTACCCCATCATTGGTTTTAATGGGAGGAATAGTACCCCATTATTGGTTTTAATGGGAGGAATAGTACCCCATCATTGGTTTTAATGGGAGGAATAGTGCCCCTTTTTGGTATCAGTGGGAGGAATAGAACCCCACCATTGGTTTAATGGGAGGAATAGTACCCCATCATTGGTTTTAAATGGGAGGAATAGTACCCCATCATTGGTTTTAAAGGGAGGAATATTTCCCCCTTGTTGGTATCCGTGGGAGGAATAGTACCCCATCATTGGTTTTAATGGGAGGAATAGTACCCCATCATTGGTTTTAATGGGAGAAACAGTGCCCCTTTTTGGTATCAGTGGGAGGAATAGTACCCCATCATTGCTTTTAATGGGAGGAATAGTACCCCACAATTGGTTTTAATGGGAGGAATAGTACCCCATCATTGCTTTTAATGGAAAGAATAGTTCCCCTTGTTGGTATCAGTGGGAGAGGAATAGTACCCCATCATTGGTTTTAATGGGAGGAATAGTGCTCCTTGTTGGTAGCAGTCGGAGAAAATAGTGCCCCATTGGTGCTGTTAGTAAGAGGAATGGTGTCCCATCACTAGTGTCAGTTGGAGGTTTACTGCCCCAAGGGCTGCATAAAGGCAAGCAAAGGGCCACGTCTAAACACATCAAAAATGCTCCAGAATGCATCACCTGACAACAAATTAAAAAAACTGCTGTAACCGAATATAAATTGTGAACTGGAGTTTGGTCTCAATTTGTTAGTGCATCTAAATCTGGTAATACATTTAACAATCCCCCCCCCCCCCCAGACTGACAATGCTGCTGTTCACAGGTCTCCGTTGCACCTTCATCCAGAGTGGGGGCGCTCTAATACAAAAGGTGTGTTACTGGCCAGATCACCAGGTGAAAACAGAGGGGGAAAAGCCTAAGGAAAAAAAAATGAATGCAGCCACCACATCTAATGATTGGTAAGGTGCAATGTATTACATTTTTGGTATAATCCCACTTTTTAATAAAGGTTTAAAAAACTTAGGTGATAGTTCTTTTACATTTACATGAGATTTTAGGGCTGGTTCACACCACAGAAAAACACACTCCAAAAGATTTGCGGATGTGTATTTGCTTACAATTCTCAACCCAGTGACTCACACCAGATGCGTATCTGCATGTGTGTTTTCGATGCGTACCAGTGCGTTTTTTTTTCCCTTGCTTGTTCAATCCAAACGCTCAAATCTAAAAACACTGAGCGTTCAAAGAACACCCATGATCTGCATAAATCACATGTGCCCTTTTGTGAGACAAGTCAATCCCCCAGGAATGTGTGTGACTGATATACATATAGAGAGGAAACATGTGCTTTGCATACGAACGTGTGAAGATGGCGCTTTCACCTGGTAAGATTGAGCAGAGTGCAGCGTGAAGAGAGCGCAGTGCCAGCTCCTGGAGAGGCAACACTGAATCACATGGCAATCCGATGCCCTTCACCTCCGCTGGCAGATGGACGCTGAGGGGACCAGAGGTGAAGGAAAGCAGCTTTGTTTCGGATACTGGAACGGGAGAGCCGCAGCTGTGAGGGATGGAAGGAAGGAAACTGTTAAACATAACATCATGAGGTGTCTTTCCTTTCCTGGAATTCTCTGACAGAAGCATCTAGAGTTCTACGAAACGAAGCCTGCTCTTTATTAGAAAACGTAGGCCCGGCTCTTAGCAGGTAGCCATTTCCAATCACTTTGCAGTGGAAAACAGCGATCATTCTTTGACCTTGATCCAAACAGACTCCTAAACAGGAACTCACAAGTACAGCAAAGAAACACCTCACATCAATCCCCCAGACATAGTCACACTTTACAGTGCAAATAAAATACACTCCACATTTGCTGAGGAAACAATTATATAGATCAGGGGCCTTCAAACTTTTCAGTGTACATCAGAGTCCCCTTTATATCACAGTCCCCATCAAAGTCCCCCATACATAAAGCCTCCCTTACACCAGGGTCCCATCAGAGTCCCCTTTATATCACAGTTCCCATCAAAGTCCCCCATACATAAAGCCTCCCTTACACCAGGGTCCCATCAGAGTCCCCTTTATATCACAGTCCCCATCAAAGTCCCCCATACATAAAGCCTCCCTTACACCAGGGTCCCATCAGAGTCCCCTTTACATCACAGTTCCCCATCAAACTCCCCCATACATAAAGCCTCCCTTACACCAGGGTCCCATCAGAGTCCCCTTTACATCACAGTCCCCATCAAAGTCCCCCATACATAAAGCCTCCCTTACACCAGGGTCCCATCAGAGCCCCTTTATATCACAGTCCCCATCAAAGTCCCCCATACATAAAGCCTCCCTTACACCAGGGTCCCATCAGAGCCCCCTTTATATCACAGTCCCCATCAAAGTCCCCCATACATAAAGCCTCCCTTACACCAGGGTCTCATCAGAGCCCTCTTGATATCACAGTCCCCATCAAAGTCCCCCATACATAAAGCCTCCCTTACACCAGGGTCCCATCAGAGCCCCCTTTATATCACAGTCCCCATCAAAGTCCCTCATACATAAAGCCTCCCTTACACCAGGGTCTCATCAGAGCCCTCTTGATATCACAGTCCCCATCAAAGTCCCCCATACATAAAGCCTCCCTTACACCAGGGTCCCATCAGAGCCCCCTTTATATCACAGTCCCCATCAAAGTCCCCCATACATAAAGCCTCCCTTACACCAGGGTCTCATCAGAGCCCTCTTGATATCACAGTCCCCATCAAAGTCCCCCATACATAAAGCCTCCCTTACACCAGGGTCTCATCAGAGCCCCTTTTATATCATTAGTCCCAATTAGGGTCTCCTTTATATCATAGTTCCCATCAAATCCCCTTACATTAAGCCTCCCTTACATCAAAGCCCCCATTAGAGTCCCCTTTACATCACAGCCCCCGTATATAAAGCCTCACTTACATCAGCGTCCTTATCAGAGCACTCATTAGGGTCCCTTTTATATCACAGTCCCCATCAAAGTCCCGCTTACATAAAGCCTCCCTTACATCAAAGTCCTTGTTTACATCAGGGTCCCCCATTAGAGTCCTCTTTACATCAGAGTCACCTTTATATAACAGTCCCCATCAAAGTCTCCCTTACATCAGCATCCTCATCAGAGCACCCATTAGGGTTCCTTTTATATCACAGTCTCCATCAAAGTCTCCCTTACGTTATAGTCCCAATCAGAGTCCCTTTTACATGAAGCCTCCATTATAGCATAGTCCCCATCCTAATACCCATTTACATCAGGGCCTCCTTTATATCACAGTCCCCATCAAAGCCCTCCTTGAATAAATACTCCCTTACATCAGGGTCCCCATCAGAGCCCCCTTACATCAAAATCCCCATTAGAGTCCCCTTTACATTACAGTCCCCATTAAAGTCACCCTCACATAAAGCCTCCCTTACATCAGAGTCCCCATCAGAGCCCCCCTTACATCAAAGTCCCCTTTATATCACAATCCACATTAAAGTCCCTCTCTACATAAAGTTTCCTTTACATCACAGTCCCCATCAAAGTCTCCCTTACATACAGTAAAAGCCTCACTTACATTAGGGTCCCCATCATAGCCCCCCTTGCAAAGTCCCCTATTACATAAGGGTACTCATCAGAGCCCCCCCCCTTACATTAGGGGTCCCCGCTTATATCGTAGTCTTCCTCAAAGTCTCTCCTTAATTCAGGATCCACATTAGAGTCCCCCTTACATTAGAGCACAACATTCCCAAAAGTGGCTATAAATGTAAGTGGGTGCTGCAGTGACCACCGGCTGCAAATCAAAGACATTCAAAGTGAGAAGCACGTCACCAGCACACCCAGGATCTCTAGAACAGGTCCAAGGTTCAGCAATCACATGCCTGATGAAGGGGCCCTGCAAAGCTCAAAAATGTTGCTTTTGTAAGGATGACGTGATCACTGAATAAAACTTTGCACCTGTTCTGGAAATCCTCAGTGTGTCGGTGACATACTTCTCCCCTTATACCAGAGTCCCTCCTTACATCAGTGTCCCCATCAGAGCCCCATCCTTACATCAGTGTCCCCATCAGAGCTCCTTCTTACATCAGTGTCCCCATCAGAGCTCCTTCTTACATCAGTGTCCCCATCAGAGCCCCATCCTTACATCAGTGTCCTCATCAGAGCCCCTCCTTACATCAAGTGTCCCCATCAGAGCCCCATTCTTACATCAGTGTCCCCATCAGAGCCCCATTCTTACATCAGTGTCCCCATCAGAGCTCCTTCTTACATCAGTGTCCCCATCAGAGCCCCTCCCTATATCAGTGTCCCCATCAGAGCTTCATTCTTACATCAGTGTCCCCATCAGAGCTCCTTCTTACATCAGTGTCCCCATCAGAGCTCCTTCTTACATCAGTGTCCCCATCAGAGCCCCTCCCTATATCAGTGTCCCCATCAGAGCCCCTCCCTATATCAGTGTCCCCATCAGAGCCCCATCCTTACATCAGTGTCCCCATCAGAGCCCCTCCCTATATTAGTGTCCCCATCAGAGCCCCATCCTTACATCAGTGTCCCCATCAGAGCCCCTCCCTATATCAGTGTCCCCATCAGAGCCCCATCCTTACATCAGTGTCCCCATCAGAGCCCCATCCTTACATCAGTGTCCCCATCAGAGCCCCATCCTTACATCAGTGTCCCCATCAGAGCTCCTCCTTACATCAGTGTCCCCATCAGAGCCCCTCCCTATATCAGTGTCCCCATCAGAGCCCCTCCTTACATCAGTGTCCCCATCAGTGCCCCATCCTTACAACAGTGTCCCCATCAGAGCTCCTCCTTACATCAGTGTCCCCATCAGAGCCCCATCCCTATATCAGTGTCCCCATCAGAGTGCCACTTACATCAGAGTCCCCCTTACATAAGAGTCCCAACCAGAGTCCCCCTTACATCAGTGTCTGTGTGCAGGTTGGTGGGTTTAAGCAGAGACCTCAGGCAGTTCATGCTAACCTTAATCCTCAATGTATGCACACTAAGAATACATCTCTGACCTTAGCTGTGGGCTGGATGTGGCACGGGGGGCCGTAGTTTGGAGACACCCGATACATTTTGTAAACATTTTTTGCAAACGTTATTGCATTCTTACTTGCCTTACTAAGTAACTTATGTAAGCCCTGCAATGCCCTTTCTCACACTTGTGGCTAAATGGAAGGTTCTTCCTTCATTATAATGACCTGAGCACTACTTCATACACGTAAACGTCTCAGCATCTGTCTGAAAATGAATTCCTATTGCAGTGAATGTCTATAGTTTGAATTCAAGTCTTGTTCAGACTTTTTGAAAAAGCGCTGAACTAGTTGCACCAATGGGAAATGACATTTCTTGGACTGATCTGTACACAAAGGGCTTGATTTACTATTTACTTAACCAGTGAAATACTGGCTACATTCGTGCAACACTGTACCCATATGAAGTTTTTTTTTCCATTTTTTTGAAACAGATAGAGCTTTCTTTTGGTGGTGTTTAATCACTGCTGAGTTTTTTATTTTTTTTGCTAAACAAATGAAAAAAGAACATTTTGAAAAAAAAAACAAACTTTTTTTTAGTTTCTGTTATAACATTTTGCAAATAAGTCATTTTTCTTCTTCACTGATGGATGCTAATGTGGCTGCACTGATGGGCACTCATGTGGGCTGTACTGATGGGCATCATGTGGCTGCACTGTGGCTGTACTGATGGGCACTCATGTGGCTGTGCTGATGGGCACTCATGTGGCTGCGCTGATGGGCACTCATGTGGCTGCACTGATGGGCACTGTGCTGCGCTGATGGGCACTCATGTGGCTGCGCTGATGGGCACTCATGTGGCTGCGCTGCTGCGCTGATGGGCACTCATGTGGCTGCGCTGATGGGCACTCATGTGGCTGCGCTGATGGGCACTCATGTGGCTGCGCTGATGGGCACTCATGTGGCTGCGCTGATGGGCACTCATGTGGCTGCGCTGATGGGCACTCATGTGGCTGCACTGATGGGCACTCATGTGGCTGCACTGATGGGCACTCATGTGGCTGCACTGATGGGCACTCATGTGGCTGCACTGATGGGCACTCATGTGGCTGCACTGATGGGCACTCATGTGGCTGCGCTGATGGGCACTCATCACTCATGTGGCTGCGCTGATGGGCACTCATGTGGCTGCACTGATGGGCACTCATGTGGCTGCACTGATGGGCACTCATGTGGCTGCACTGATGGGCACTCATGTGGCTGCACTGATGGGCACTCATGTGGCTGCACTGATGGGCACTCATGTGGCTGCACTGATGGGCACTCATGTGGCTGCACTGATGGGCACTCATGTGGCTGCACTGATGGGCACTCATGTGGCTGCACTGATGGGCACTCATGTGGCTGCACTGATGGGCACTAATGTGGCTTCACTGACGGGGCTGCAGTGATAATCAGGGCAATGATAATCAGTGTAAACAATGTACTGACAGGCCCTTGCCAGTTATTGGCTGTATTCCTCACACAGACACGCTGTATCTGTGTGAGGAAAGGACTGCCGATAACCATTAATCCTGTTTACATGTGATCAGCTGTGATTGGCCATTTACCAGGGGCGGACTGACAACTCATGGGGCCCCCGGGCAATAGGAAATCAAAGGGCCCCTGTGTCCTTGCCCACACTCAAACCACACCCAAAAAAGCCTATGCAAGGTACCAGAGGCATCTCATGGGGTCCCCTACTGACCCCGGGCACTGCCCGAGTGGCTAAATGGTCAGTCTGCCCCTGCCCTTTACCCTGATCTGTGATCAGTGTCCAAAGGATATAGTAGTCACAGGGTGTGCAGGGGGCCATAAACTGGATGACCGGGCTGTAGCTCCCAGAACTGGATGACCGGGCTGTAGCTCCCAGAACTGGATGACCGGGCTGGAGCTCCCAGAACTGGATGACCGGGCTGTAGCTCCCAGAACTGGATGACCGGGCTGGAGCTCCCAGAACTGGATGACCGGGCTGTAGCTCCCAGAACTGGATGACCGGGCTGGAGCTCCCAGAACTGGATGACCGGGCTGTAGCGTCTTTCAGCTATAGCGCAGTTAAAGGAAACACATTCAATTTTGCAAAGGAAGATGAAAATTATCCCCAGAGCTTAGCGAATGTGTTGCTCTGTGAAGAATACCCATTCACATGCAAGGAAAAAAAAACAAAACAAAAAAACAAACGCATTTTTGCTTGCACACGAATGGATGAAAGAAGTCAGCAGAGCTTCATCCCATTCGCTAAGATCTGGGGGTAAATTCTTATGCAAAGTGAACGACTCATTTAACCTTTAGTAAATCAAACCCAAAGTGTACAGAACACCACAGGTTGCCATATCTGCAAGGAAGCCACTTCTTTTGAGAAAAATTGCGCTTTTTGGATCCAAGGTCTAAATGTGCGTTTTCACACATTTTATCAGGCGCTCCAACTGAAATCTATGGAGACAAAAACTATGTGAAAGGGCTTGTTCACATGTGCGGCAGGGACTGCGATCCACTTTCCGATTGCTTTTTAGAGGCGTTTGCTGTATCACCTCCTCACTGCCCGCTTTAACCCCTTGATCCAAAAATAGCGTATGCAACTGCGGTTGTGGGGCGCTTGCAGGGCAGCCCCATTCACTTGCGACCTGGGGTATAAATCCTGCCATGGCTGCAGCATGTATACACTCCCTAGGGACCTCTAGAAGTGCCTTTCCATCATCACTATCCACAGAGGAGGTATCTACTCCAGGTACATCCTTCCCAGGAAAACGGTAAAATTGCACACTCACCAGAGACTCTGGGCTACATCCTTCCCAGGAAAACGGTAAAATTGCACACTCACCAGAGACGCAATATAAATGTGCATTTACATCAAATACACCAGAGGTGGTTTTTGATGTAAATGCGCATTTATATTGCGTCTCTGGTGTATTTGTTGTAAATGCGCATTTATATTGCGTCTCTGGTGAGTGTGCAATTTTACCGTTTTCCCTGCACGTCACCGGATCACGTGTCACTGGGAATAGAGAAGTTACCTGTTCAACTTATCATTTTCCTGTACCTCCACCACTCCCATCACTTTTGGACATTTAATATTGTTGCATTTGTGTCATACATAGTGCATGTTTGTTGGGAATATTATTCCATATTGGATACGGACACCAGGGGGTTTATTTACTAAAGCTGGAGAGTGCAAAATCAGACTCACTTCTGCATAGAAACCAATCAGCTTCCAGGTTTCATTGCCAAAGCTTCATTGAACAAGCTGAGGTTAGAAGCTGATGATTGGTTTCTATGCAGAAGGGAGTCTGATTTTGGACTCTCCAGCTTTAGTAAATAAACCCCCATCTGTCACCATTTTGGTATTCTATTCTATGCTCTATTGGACATTTTCTTGTGCATTTTAGCCTCAGGAGTTTGCATTTATATGGTTTTAGAATGTTTTAGCGCTGCACTACACATTTTATGTGTACACTCCCAGCCGGTATCTCTGCAGCTAAAATGGGAGCGGTTCGGGGTGGTAAATCTATGGCTCAACCGCCTGCCTTTACTGCCCCTCCACCACACATGAGCGAATGAGCCCATAAAAAGCTCATGTATCTTTTCAAGTGACATGCGCCTGAGCGTGAACAGGCACTATTCAAAACAATAGTGTTTTTAATGCTGAGCATTTTGTAGCTTCAGGCTACAAAAGGCTCAGGTGTTGTGAATGAGGCCTAACACAAGGCCTGGTCACATGCCTGATGAAGGGGTCCTGCGAGACTCCGAAACGTTGCCTTGCTGTAACTATGTGATCGTTCATTAAAACCTTTGGACTCATATTGGTGATCCTCTGTGTGCTGGTGACATTCTCCCTTGCTGATTCTGTTCTGTTCCAGCCGACGGTCGCTGCAGCTCCCACTTATACACACCGCCATTGTTAATGCAGGAACGTGTGCGCTTGGATTGTACACTTGCATGGAGGCCTAACACAATCCACCTTCACTAAGAGAAAGAAAAGTCGATAGAAATACAGTGGGACAAAAAAGTATTTAGTCAGCCTCCAATTGTGCAAGTTCTCCCACTTAAAAAGATGAGAGAGACCTGTAATTGGCATCATAGGTAGACCTCAACTATGAGAGACAAAATGAGAAAACAAATCCAGACAATCACATTGGCTGATCTGGAAAGAATTTATTTGCAAATTATGGTGGAAAATAAGTATTTGGTCAATATCAAAAGTTCATGTCAATACTTTGTTATATATCCTTTGTTGGCAATGACAGAGGTCAGACGTTTCCTGTAAGTCTTCACAAGGTTGGCACACACACTGTTGCTGGTATGTTGGCCCATTCCTCCTCCATGCAGATCTCCTCTAGAGCAGTGATGTTTTGGGGCTGTCGCTGGGCAACACGGACTTTCAACTCCCTCCAAAGGTTTTCTATGGGGTTGAGATCTGGAGACTGGCTAGGCCACTCCAGGACCTTGAAATGCTTCTTACGAAGCCACTCCTTCATTGTCCAGGCGTATGTTTGGGATCATTGTCATGTTGGAAGACCCAGCCACGTTTCATCTTCAATGCCCTTGCTGATGGAAGGAGGTTTGCACTCAAAATCTCACGATACATGGCCCCATTCATTCTGTCCTGTACATGGATCAGTCGTCCTGGTCCCTTTGTGGAGAAACAGCCCCAAAGCATGATGTTGCCATCCCCATGCTTCACAGTAGGTATGGTGTTCTTTGGATGCAACTCAGCATTCTCTCTCCTCCAAACACGACGAGTTGTGTTTCTACCAAACAGTTCTATTTTGGTTTCATCTGACCATATGACATTCTCCCAATCCTCTTCTGGATCATCCAAATGCTCTCTAGCAAACTTCAGATGGGCCCGGACATGTACTGGCTTAAGCAGGGGGACACGTCTGGCACTGCAGGATCTGAGTCCCTGGTGCGTAGTGTATTACTGATGGAAGCCTTTGTTACGTTGGTCCCAGCTCTCTGCAGGTCATTCACTAGGTCCCCCCGTGTGGTCCTGGGATTTTTTCTCACCGTTCTTGTGATCATTTTGACCCCACGGGGTGAGATCTTGCGTGGAGCCCCAGATCGAGGGAGATTATCAGTGGTCTTGTATGTCTTCCATTTTCTAATTATTGCTCCCACAGTTGATTTGTTCACACCAAGCTGCTTGCTTATTGCAGATTAAGTCTTCCCAGCCTGGTGCAGGTCTACAATTTTGTTTTTGGTGTCCTTCGACAGCTCTTTGGTCTTCACCATAGTGGAGTTTGGAGTGTGACTGTTTGAGGTTGTGGACAGGTGTCTTTTATACTGATAACAAGTTCAAACAGGTGCCATTGATACAGGTAATGAGTGCAGGACAGAGGAGCCTCTTAAAGAAGAAGGTACAGGTCTGTGAGAGCCAGAAATCTTGCTTGTTTGTAGGTGACCAAATACTTATTTTCCATCATAATTTGCAAATAAAATTCTTTCCAGATCAGCCAATGTGATTGTCTGGATTTTTTTTCTCATTTTGTCTCTCATAGTTGAGGTCTCCCTGATGCCAATTACAGGCCTCTCTCATCTTTTTAAGTGGGAGAACTTGCACAATTGGTGGCTGACTAAATACTTTTTTGCCCCACTGTATATATCTTTGGTGCAAAGGCAACAAAAAACAGTGTATGAGCTGCTCAGCCAGCAAACACCCTGTTCATTCTGTCATGCCTCTGTTTCAAAGGCTAGATTATTGGATATTAATAACATTTATTGTAAATGCAGATTGCTAAGAGCAGAAGACTACATGTCATTGTAAATACAAAAGCTTTTAAGAAGTGCTAAATGATCTAATTACATATACGCAGTACAACATTTATTGCACAAGGATGCAGAAAATGAATCCTAGGTAACTCTATATGTGGGAATGGGAATGGCTTACCCGCTGCAGCCGATCACTTTATTGTAGAGATAGGAAGGGAGACCCTTCAGCTGAATGTTATTATCCACATACACGTATTGCAGCTCTCGAGACCTTCCCAAATCTGAATGCAAAACAATAAAAATATCTTTAATAATATAAAAGCAAAGTTTTAATTTGTCCGCATACATTCCTTTTTATTCCGGCATAATGCCTAAATCAGAGCTTTGTGTTGCTAGTGGGTGATTATGCCAATAGAAGCAGCTTTTCCTCCTCCTCCTTTCTTGTCTGTGTGACCCCCTTTGTTCACTCATACTCCCCACCTTGTCCCCTCTATTCCCCCACCACTGACACCCCTGCCAACTCATCCCCACCCTTTCTCACTGACAGGCATTCTCCCTACTGACAGTCATCCCTCCAGAGGACACAATGATATTCCTGTATAGCCGTGTGTACTCTCCAGCGCTCCAGGAAATAAATTGCCAAAGGGAGGCCAAGGGAACCAGGACAGGAGTGGCCTACAGGGATGCAGCCCCCTCAGATGGGGTAAATCAACCACTGGGAAAAAGAGCAGACAGGCGGTACAAACACCTAGTGCATTGTCCAGCATTATCCAGTAGCTCTGAGGAAAGGGATTCGTCCCAGAAACGCGTCACAACACCTCACCACACTGACAGTCAGAACACCAGACCGCGCCGACAGTCACACACCAGACCGCGCCGACAGTCAGGACACCAGACCGCGCCGACAGTCACAACACCAGACCGCGCCGACAGTCAGGACACCAGACCGCGCCGACAGTCAGGACACCAGACCGCGCCGACAGTCAGGACACCAGACCGCGCCGACAGTCAGGCCAGACCGCGCCGACAGTCACACCAGACCGCGCCGACAGTCACAACGCCGACGCGCCGACAGTCAGGACACCAGATCGCGCCGACAGTCACAATGCCTGACCGCGCCGACAGTCACAACGCCTGACCGCGCCGACAGTCACAACGCCAGACCGCGCCGACAGTCACAACGCCAGACCGCGCCGACAGTCACAACGCCTGACCGCGCCGACAGTCACAACGCCAGGACCGCGCCGACAGTCACAACGCCGGATCGCGCCGACAGTCACAACGCCGGACCGCGCCGACAGTCACAACGCCTGATCGCGCCGACAGTCACAACGCCTGACCGCGCCGACAGTCACAACGCCTGACCGCGCCGACAGTCACAACACCAGACCGCGCCGACAGTCACAACGCCTGACCGCGCCGACAGTCACAACGCCTGACCGCGCCGACAGTCACAACGCCTGACCGCGCCGACAGTCACAACGCCTGACCGCGCCGACAGTCACAACGCCTGTCACAACGCCGCGCCGACAGTCACAACAACTGACCACAGGTGTTCACAACACGGTCAGTGTGGTCAGGTGTTCTGACGGTCAGTGTGGTCAGGTGTTCTGACGGTCAGTGTGGTCAGGTGTTCTGACGGTCAGTGTGGTCAGGTTTTTTGACGGTCAGTGTGGTCAGGTTTTTTGACGGTCAGTGTGGTCAGGTTTTCTGACTGTCAGTGTGGTCAGGTGTTCTGACTGTCAGTGTGGTCAGGTGTTCTGACTGTCAGTGTGGTCAGGTGTTCTGACTGTCAGTGTGGTCAGGTGTTCTGACTGTCAGTGTGGTCAGGTGTTCTGACTGTCAGTGTGGTCAGGTGTTCTGACGGTCAGTGTGGTCAGGTGTTCTGACGGTCAGTGTGGTCAGGTGTTCTGACGGTCAGTGTGGTCAGGTGTTCTGACGGTCAGTGTGGTCAGGTGTTCTGACTGTCAGTGTGGTCAGGTGTTCTGACTATCAGTGTGGTCAGGTGAGCTTTTTATACACGCTATGTCTGTGTATGTTTTTGTCTTTTACACCTTGGAATAGATCTTGGATAATGCACTTGGTGTTTGCACCGCCTGTCTGCTCTTATTCCTGTATAGCCGTTTTATCCCCCAACGCACACTCCTCACCAGCCGCCTCACCCCCATTCATACACCCCCCACTGACAGCGACTGAAAGCTTCTCATACAGTTGTGCTGAAAAGTTTGCCTCCCCTTGCAGAACTGGTAATATACAGTATGTACTATTTTTGAAGAAACTGTGAGTGAGCAGGAAAAACACATTTCTTTTATTTTTTATGGGATTCATTTTCAGTTGTAGGTCATAGCAGAATGGAGCAATCATAAAACAAAACATGGCAACAAGTAAACCAATGAAATGACCCTGTTCAAAAGTCTGCATCCCCTTAGTTCTTAATCCTGTGTACTGCACACTACAATCCTTGAACAAAAATGAGCTGCATGGTCAAGTTCCCAAAAATAATCCTTTGCTGCACCAAAGCCACCAAAAAGCCGGGTACAATATGCCCAACAACACCTCACAGCTCCTGGCAATGTAATCTGAAGTGACGAGACCAAAATAGAGCTTTAAGGTCACAACCATTAGCGCTATGTTTGGAGAGGGGTCAACAAGGCCTATAGCGACAAGAATGCCATCCCCACTGTGAAGCATGGTGGTGGCTCACTGATGTTTTGGGGGTTTGTGAGCTCTAAAGGCACAGGGAATCTTGTGAAAATAGATGGCAATATGAACTGCATGACTGCAAGACGAATGGGCAGATATATCACCTGCAAGAATTCCGGGCCTCATAGGCAACTATTACAAAAAACTGCATGCTGTCATGGATGTTTATTATATACTCTTCATAACGTACAATAGTGTTAAGCTGGGTGCACCACACTGTACGAAAATCGGCTGGTTCCCCAGGAGCCAGACAACTTTCAGTCAGTGTGTACAGCAGTCTAATGACCGGCTTTTGTCAAAGGGACATGCTGGAAAACCAGGCAGGAGTCCCCTTGTCAGAATACAACCAGGTGGGAGTCCTGCTGTCAAATTAAAACCAAGCAGGAGTCCCCCTGTCATAATATAATCAGGCGGGAGTCCCCCTTTTAGAATACAACCAGATGGGAGTCCCCCTTTCAGAATACAACCAGGTGGGAGTCCCCCTTTCAGAATACATCCAGATGGGAGTCCCCCTGTCAGATTAAAACCAAGCGGGAGTCCCCCTGTCAGAATACAACCAGGCGGGAGTCCCCCTGTCAAAATACAACCAGGCGGAAGTCCCCCTGTCAAAATACAACCAGGCAGGAGTCCCCCTGTCAAAATACAACCAGGCAGGAGTCCCCCTGTCAAAATACAACCAGGCAGGAGTCCCCCTGTCAAAATACAACCAGGCAGGAGTCCCCCTGCCAAAATACAACCAGGCTGAGGTCCCCCTTTCAGAATACAACCAGGCTGAGGTCCCCCTTTCAGAATACAACCAGGCTGAGGTCCCCCTTTCATAATACAACCAGGCGGCAGTCCCCCTGTCAGAATACAACCAGGCGGGAGTCCCCCAGTCAGAATACAACCAGGCAGGAGTCCCCCAGTCAGAATACAACCAGGCGGGAGTCCCCCAGTCAGAATACAACCAGGCGGGAGTCCCCCAGTCAGAATACAACCAGGCGGGAGTCCCCCAGTCAGAATACAACCAGGCGGGGAGTCCCCCAGTCAGAATACAACCAGGCGGGAGTCCCCCAGTCAGAATACAACCAGGCGGGAGTCCCCCAGTCAGAATACAACCAGGCGGGAGTCCCCCAGTCAGAATACAACCAGGCGGGAGTCTCCATGTCAGAATACAACCAGGCGGGAGTCCCCCAGTCAGAATACAACCAGGCGGGAGTCCCCCAGTCAGAATACAACCAGGCGGGAGTCCCCCAGTCAGAATACAACCAGGCGGGAGTCCCCCAGTCAGAATACAACCAGGCGGGAGTCCCCCAGTCAGAATACAACCAGGCGGGAGTCCCCCCAGTCAGAATACAACCAGGCGGGAGTCCCCCAGTCAGAATACAACCAGGCGGGAGTCCCCCAGTCAGAATACAACCAGGCGGGAGTCCCCCAGTCAGAATACAACCAGGCGGGAGTCCCCCAGTCAGAATACAACCAGGCGGGAGTCCCCCAGTCAGAATACAACCAGGCGGGAGTCCTCCATGTCAGAATACAACCAGGTGGGAGTCTCCATGTCAGAATACAACCAAGTGGGAGTCTCCATGTCAGAATACAACCAAGTGGGAGTCTCCATGTCAGAATACAACCAAGCGGGAGTCTCCATGTCAGAATACAACCAAGCGGGAGTCCCCCTGTCAGAATAACCAGGCGGGAGTCCCCGTCAGAATAACCAGGCGGGAGTCCCCCTGTCAGAATAACCAGGCGGGAGTCCCCCTGTCAGAATAACCAGGCGGGAGTCCCCCTGTCAGAATAACCAGGCGGGAGTTCCCCTGTCAGAATAACCAGGCGGGAGTTCCCCTGTCAGAATAACCAGGTGGGAGTTCCCCTGTCAGAATAGCACATCAGAGGGAATCACCGCACCAACGTCACTAGGAAAAATGCTTCCTCATAGGGGGGCTTTCCTCACACTGCAATGATTAAATGCTTATTTAGGTCTAGGGCAGTAGTCTCCAAACTGTGGCCCCTTGCTTTCCTTTATTTGGCCCTTGAGGCATTATTCCTGCCACTGACACCAAGGATGGGGCACTATTTTTCTTCCACCTAATACTAAAGATGGGGCATGGTTTACTCCCATTGGGAACTTGGAGTGAATTTACTTCCATGGGGAATTTCTAGGGGATTGCAAAAGCATTCTTACTTGCCCGGTCCTCTGCTCTCCCAGCAACTGATAATAATAAAAACTACGTAACCTGCAGCTATGTATTTCCAGACAAATTATTATTATACAGGATTTATATTTCGCCAACAGTTTGCTCAGCACTTTACAATATAAATGGAGACAATACAGCAACAATACAGTTCAATACAAGAGGGTTAGGAGGGCCCTGATCCTGAGCTTCTAGTATTCCCCCAGCCCGTGCCCCCCCCCCCCCGACTTCTCCATCAAGATCAACAATACTACCATCAGTCCCACCCCTCACGCCTGGGTGCTAGGTGTCATCCTAGACTCCAATCTGTCCTTTCAGCCCCAGGTCCAATCGCTGACAAACTCATGTAGACTTCACCTCCGCAACATCTCCAAGATACGTCGTTCCTAACCTCGGAAACCACTAAG